CCAATAGCAGCAACCTCCCCCCTCAGACTCCTCGGTCAACATCATTAGCAGCAACACCCCCCCCCCTCAGACTCCTCGGTCAACATCATTAGCAGCAACCTTGACCCCTCGGTCAACATCATTAGCAGCAACCTCGACCCCTCGGCCAACATCATTAGCAGCAACCTCGACCCCTACGACTCCGAGGCCAACATCGTCAGCACCAACTACTTACATACAACAGACTATCTTGAGTTTCCGAAAGAGATCTGGCGACAGTCTTCATGAACGACTGATAGATAGGTGTGTATGGAGAACTGTTTTAATAGTAGAAAGATGAATGTATAATGTGCAGCAACTACAAAATGTATTGAAAAAATAAAATTTGAAAGGTCATTTTATCCTTTCGCATCAACCAGGCGCGAACCTAGATTTAAAAGCTACTTGATTGCTGATTGTTTTAAGTTGAAAGTCAAGGTCACTGTAGATGAAATTGATTTATAAACTTTTACCCCTTTTAGGACTTGAACTTTGCAATATATTGAACAATTCCGTATCGCAAAATTCTAGATTTAACTTCTCTTCATTTTGTATAATTGATAGCTTCTATATTTAAGGGTCTAAAAAGTTTTGGATATATTAAAATGTTAAGTGTACACATAAATGAAAACCTGTCGCCATTTGAATCCATATAGGTACCAGCCATTGAGAGAAAGGAAAATGAAAGTATATGAGGCTGACACCATAGCAGGACAAGCACCCTTGAAAGCGGAGTGGTTCAAGTTTTGGAATGAAGAGAGTCTTCGTCTTTTGATCAGGGGCACTCGAAGGCAAAATATTGAAGGTAAATTGTGATACCAGACGTTAGTATGGGTACTTTATTTAATACACTTTTTAATTCTGAACATGGTATTTTGAGCATGACAAATAATATTATATATTCCCTACATTTCATTATTTTATTTATATTCAAAAGAAATAACTAGAATGGTTATTTATGTGTCAGTCTTTGACAGGTTGTATTTTGGTATGACGATGTCCGTCCGTCTGTGAACAATTGCTTGTCATCTTTCTAGCAGCCATATTTATTATCAGATTTTGATCAAACTTCACATGCATGTTCGCCTTGGTCATAGCTCGGTAGATAGACGTTATCGGCCAAAGGTCAAGGTCACAGGTCACTCTTACTAACAAGAGGCCCAAGGGCCTTAGCGGTCACCTGAGTTATATCATAGGTACTGGTAGCTTTATTTTATTGTTTAGATGTGATGTGGAAATCAGCATGTAAACTAAGTGAAATACAATACGTGTCATGTCATCAATGGATAAGAATTTGAAAATATTGGTAAATGTTCCCTTTGGGGCCCCGCCCTAGCCCCTGGGGATGGGGCAGGAATCC